GCAAGTAGAAGATTAATTTGTATGTAAATATAAGGACATATTATGATGTGCAGTGTTTTTTTCTATTAGAAATAGTGCAAATAGTATGAGTAGAGTGCAGTAGTTGATTTTTCATTCTGGATGGTGTTGTAGAGTCTGACTCTGTCTCGTTGGGGGTGAGAAGTGATGGAACTCAGCTTCACCAACATTCCTCCTTTCACCCACTTCCTCAGTGGACTCCAGACGGCAGTCCAACACCGAGCTGGCACTCCTAACAACTTTATTTTCTCTTTTTGACTAGACAATGGCCTAGAGCATTGCAGAAGCCACCACAGTGTCCTGCACACTCGGAAGGACCTCAGTCCCCTGAGCAAATAGAGACGACTCTGGCCCCTCTTGTACAGGACATCTGTGTGGGTGGACCAGTCCACTTTGTTGTTGAAGTGAACACCCAGGTATCTGTGGTCCCCCACAATCTCAAGGTCCACATCCTGGATGTTCACCTGTGTAGTCTGGGGCGACAAAACCAATATAACCTCCACCCACCAGCATTGTACTCCTCACAGTTAAGTGTGTGTGTATGACATCTACAGAAATAGATCATTTGACTGAATGGAAAGAATGAGCAAAATCTAATTAGAAAAGATTTTGGGTGTATAAGATTTATTTTCTGTTTGAATGAGAGACAAGATTATGGAATTCGGGGAAACAGAAACTTTTATATGAAAAATGTGACTCATTCACATTGTGGTTCCTTATTTAAGCCAAATGTATGATTATTGTTGTGATTCCTCTCAAAGCCTGACCTTCTGTCTGAATGTGGTACACCACAACAACATCAGAGTGGGACCTCTGTCTTTTCTACCGCTCTGTTGTTGTAACAGTTCGACGGAACCCGAGAAGTGTCAGAATAGATAAAGTGCGAGGGTGAAAAATAGGGCAGTAAATGATATTATGCAACTTTAAAGTAATTAAATGGGACACTCGCACTGTTACACAACAAGATATGTATAGAAACATGATAGGAACAAATCTACGTCAGTGTCACAAAGAATTTACCATCTGTAGTCAATCCAGATGCAAAATTGTAGATCTATACACAATTCTCTCTGCAATTAGCTTTAAAAAGTTTAATTTTGTCCCATAAAACCATTAAAATACATCTGATTGCCTTAATGACTTAATTAGAATTAGATTTTATTGCTAGAAAATGTCGATCAATGTGCTCTGTCATTTTTGCTTTGATTTTTCTAATGATATTTACATCTTCATCAGTCTCTCCTCACACTTTTATTTCCTGGAATTTGAAAAACATAAAAATCCCAAATAGTAAAAATGGCTTCAACTGCAGGCCGTTCATAATCCAGTGGAATAGTAATAGTATTTATTTGCATAGTGCATGAAAGTGTAAATTCCAAATCTCTTACTTAGAATGCAGTAAAA